AGAAAACTTACAGAAGACCTCTGTCATTGCCAACAAAGGGTATATAACAAAGTATTGAGATGAAATTTTGTTATTGACCAAATACTTATTTTCCACCATAATTTGCAAATAAATTCTTTAAAAATCCTACAATGTGATTTTCTGGATTTTTTTCTTCTCATTTTGTCTCTCATAGTTGAGGTATACCTATGATGAAAATTACAGGCCTCTCTCATCTTTTTAAGTGGGAGAACTTGCACAATTGGTGGCTGACTAAATACTTTTTTTTCCCCCACTGTGTATATATATATATATCTAGTAGGTGTGAGACAACTAGTGAAAACATCATAACGTTTCTTTGCTCTTCTTAATTTTCAGTGTGATTTTAGAGTTTTGGACCCCACTGTATTGACTATATATTCAGTATTTTGGATTGGGCACTTGGGAAAAACAATTACACTTTCTACACTACATAGTAATCCTCAAGTTTAAAGTGGTAAAGTTTAATGACTGTGTGAGACAGGAAGTTGGTGTAATTTTGCCTGTTCTTTTCCGTACTCAGGAAAAATGAAAGGCTGTGACCAACTTGGCAATGGAGAGTCTATTCAAACAGTAATAATGAAAGCACGGTGCAGCAGCACTGCTCCATATATTGTTCGGTGCCAATGTGACTCAATGTTTTCAACTGAACATACATGATAGTCAGCAAATTACAGAGCTAAACATGGGCATCGGAAGCAAACAAATAAATAAATACAAATGTGGATGGGTCCTCCCCCAGAAAATTTTGACTGGAGTAAATGCTATTTCCTGTATTCTGGTGCTTTTTAATTAAACAGTTGCTTTTATAGCCCAAAATGGTTATGGATTTGAGAAAGCAGCAGCATGGAAGGCTGTAGCTGAAACGCGGAATGGTGTTTAATTTATTAGGGCATTCCTCAGGTGGAATAAATTTGAGTGGCGGAGCTCTGAAAAGTGAACAGACATATGTGCTAAAGTAGAGACGGAAAAAGTGAGTGGGTTCAATATCATTGGTCTTAAAAATTGGGTGGGTCTTGTCCCACCCAGATACAGTGGTTCTGACGCCGATGGAGCTAAACATACACTACTGTTCAAAAGTTTGGGGTTCAGTTAATTTTTTACTTTGGAAGAAATTGATACTTTTATTCAGCAATGACACATTAAATTGATCAAAAGTGACAGTAAAGACTTTTATATTGTTGCAAAAAGATTTCTATTTTAAACAAATGCTGATCTTTTTAACTTTCTATTCATCAAGGAATCCTGAATATATCAAAGTTTCCACGAAAATATTAAGCAGCACAACTGATTCCAACATTGATAAGAAATGTTTCTTGTGGAGCATATCAGAATGATTTCTGAAGGATCATGTGACACTGAAGACTGGAGTAATGATGCTGAAAATTCAGCTTTGCCATCACAGGAATAAATTACATTTTAAGATGAAAATAGATATATGAAAATAGTTATTTAATTAGAAAGCAGTTATTTATAATAAATTATTATATAATATAATATTTTATATTATTTAATATTGTATTGCATTTTAATATGCTACAATATATACTACACTACTTTATTGTAATAGTATTTCACAATATTATTGTTTTTTACTGTATTTTTGTTCAAATAAATGTAGCATCGATGAGCATAAGAGACTTCTTACAAAACATAAAAAAAATGTATCAGCCTCAAACTTTTGAACAGTAGTGTACATATAAAGCATTCATCAACAGTATGAATTAATAAATACACAAATAAAAACAAATAAAAGGAATAATAAACAAATACACTATGGTCCAAAAGTCTGAGACCACACTGATAATCGGGAACTGAAAATTTGTAAAACCTGGAAACAATGTTTATGTTAAAGAAGAATTTAAATGTTTTATGTAATTATGTCCATAAATGTACTAGGGACAGCAACACAAGATGTCATAAGAAAAAGGCAGGAAGCTGGGAAAATAAAATAAAAAAAATATACACACATATACATACATACATACATACATATATATATATATATATATATATAGATGTGTGTATATAATTTATTGTTTGAATTGACAAATTTTGGTCCCACGTATACCGTGGTGCTTACTTGATTTGAATCTACATGTGGGTGGGGCATATGGGAAATGGGAGGAGCATTTAAGGAATGAGGAACCAAGTACTCCTCAGCGTCCATCAGGTCATCCAGCTCCTCTTCATCTAGAAGACTCAGGAAGAACTTACTGTGGTTGGGGCTGGGCAGCTTCATGCGATCATCGCCCTGAGATGACAACATAAAGTATTATCTACTGAGCTTCAGGAACATTTCAAATGGCCATTTCAAACAGAGAGAAGTTAGCAATCCCCACCTGTATGACGAGGTATCTCTGAGGGTCTCGAGCCATGTGGCTGAACTCTGCTGCGAGTTCTTTGAATCGAGGCCGACTATCAGCATCAATCATCCAGCCTGGAGGTGAAGAGGCCAACAATGTGTCAGAGATATACAACAAAATTCAACTTTTCAGGTCTAATCTACCTGAATATATGTCAGTGTGGTTTTACTGTGTTGACATTTTCATAAAACAAATAAATTCTCTATATTTATATATTAATTTTATATTTTTAGATATATTGAGTTTGGCATTTTCTTGATCCCAATTATTAATTTAATTTAATTTCCCCTCCAATCACATATTGCACAAATGAAAAGCAATAAAACTGGATTTCATGCAAGAATATCCCACTCTCTGAGGTGTTATAATTGTTATGTTGAATCAATGTGGCTTCCGGACAAATCTGATTACGACAAACAGATTTAATCTTCATCACTTGTCACTTCATTGTGGAACTGACTGTGCCAAGACAAATAGAAAGTGAGCGCATAAAGAGAGCTTATGTACTCAAGACAAATACAGGTGCATCTCAATAAATTAGAATGTCATGGAAAAGTTCATTTATTTCAGTAAGTCAACTCAAATTGTGAAACTCATGTATTAAATAAATTCAATGCACACAGACTGAAGTAGTTTAAGTCTTTGGTTCTTTTAATTGTGATAATTTTGGCTCACATTTAACAAAAACCCACCAACTCACTATCTCAACAAATTAGAATACTTCATAAGACCAACTTTATTGAGATGCACCTGTATACCAGTTATGATTTAGCTATCCCTTTATACATTTTAAATGATGGCAAAAGTGCAAAGCATAATTGTATTAAAGGTGAAGTATGTAATTTCTCTGCCACCAAATGGAGTTAATAAAATAACAACAGGTTACTGAAACACTTCCTCGATCATTGGTCAATAAAGATTAAAGCATACACTATGAACAGATTAGAAAATCTCAGAATATGACTCACATTTCACCATCACCATGTAGACGTCTATGGTGCAGATGGGCGGCTGGGGCAAACGTTCGCCCTTCTCCAAGATGTCTGGAATCTCACGTGTGGGAATCCCATCATAGGGCTTTCCTCCAAATGTCATCAGCTCCCAGATAGTCACCCCTGAATGAATGTGAAACTCATATTCCATCTCCAAAGCTCACTGTTAGCTAGCATGATGGTAATGAAACTATAGTAGAGGATGTGAAACCTACAGAGTATGTGTTGTCTTCACCTAAGTTTAACTTTCGTTATCTTATAGAAAACAGGATACTTTGGTTTACAATAAGTAATGGGAACTATAAATGCCACTTTTTGCAGTTTTACACTGCTAAATCCTGTACTAATTTGCATTTACTCTTTAGAGTGCCCTTTGAGAAAGAAATTAATATAAAAAATAAAATAATCAAAATAATAATTAATATAATATATATTATAACAAATATACAAATAAATTATTTATACTAATAAATAATAAAATTAATAAATTAATCAAACTAACACTATTATATAAAATAATAATACAAATAATATTATAAAATTATAAGAATATAAATATTATAATTTTTTAGTAATTTAATCAGAAAAAAGAAGCAGTAAAACAAAATTTGCTTCACTGTGTATAGCTCACCATAACTCCATACATCACTCTGATGTGTGAACTTCCTGTAATGAATGCACTCCAGAGCCATCCACTTGATAGGCATCTAGAGTAGAACATTACAAATTGGTTATGCAAAGAGCATTTCCATATCAGCGGAACATGACAATTCAGATACTCAATACTTTAATTGATTTGGGGAAGGTATGAAATGAAACATTAACAGAGTCCCAATGAGAACCGTCAAACTTTCACTCCAAGGGATTTAAGAAAGTTCTTTACAAAGAAAAACTGCTAGCTAACAAAAATTAATACTGCTGATTTTTCCATAAATCATCTTCAGGTTTGATATGCTTTTACCTTAGTGCATTTTGATGTTACGAATTTAATTAGAAAAATATGGATCAAGTTTCAAACACTGACCTTGCCTCCATCCGCACTGTACTCTTTTTCATCGGTTTCCAGCAGTCGAGCAAGTCCAAAATCAGTGATCTTGATGTGGTTTGGAGATTTTACTAGGACGTTACGGGCCGCGAGGTCCCTGTGCACCAGCCGCCTCTCCTCTAGGTACATCATACCCTGCCGAAGAGGAGATTTTAACAATTATTATTGAATTACAGTAGTGGTTAATACCACACAGCAACAAGTAAAACAGATCATACAACATTAAAGTAAAGTAAAGCTATTTTACCTCCCCTTTCATATAGACCACCACAATAGAAATACATCAGGGATTTAAACACGGCCCTGTCAAATTAGATTCCCTTCCTAAAGATAGACAGTAAATTAGTGGGAGATCTAATCAAAATTTAAATGCCATCTCCTTATTTCTCTTTACCCATGTTCACTCCCATTTTGCTGCTTTGGCTCACTGTGCATTAATACTTATCTTAGTGCCTCTACAGAAGTTTGCCTATGATTTATGGCTTTATGTTAATCTTCAATTAAAATGCAACTTCCTGGCCTTTGGGAGGAGAGGGGAGCTGTGCTGGAGGGGCTGCTGAACCTCCACTTACTGTATGCTTGAAGAAAATCACTGATAGTGAGGTTCAAGGAAATAGACCAGAGGGCTTTTTTTCTGGATAATGCTGAATGGAGCCATGAGAGAAATGATTGTGGCCGAATGACGGCTCTAAGAATGACAACAACACAGGAATGGAGCATTGAGGAAGACGCTGAAGTGAAGCAGATGCTTGCAAACAAAATGGCAAGAATACCGGCCACTGGAAACCCACTACATACATACACTCTTAAAAATAAAGGTGCTTCACGATGCCATAGAAGAACCTTTTTGTCTAAATGGTTCCATAAAGAACCTTTAACATCTGAAGAACCTTTCTGTTTCCCAAAAGGTTCTTTGTGGTGAAATAAGGTTCTTCAGATTAGAAAAACGCAAGAAAGAGATGGTTTTTTAAAGAACATTTGACTGAATGGTTCTTTGTGGAACCAAAAATGGTTCTTCTATGGCATCGCTTGAAGGACCTTTTGAAGCACCTTTATTTTAAAGAGTGTAGTCATTAAAAAGTGTTTTGAGTTGTGCTGTGTAATTGCCAATTTTCAGCACAATTACACAATGACAAAATCAATATCCTGCCAGTAGGTCAATGAATGAATAAAATGAGAAATGCCGGGCTGAAACACAAAAAGACTAAATTAAACAAACACAAGAAAGCATGATTTTTATTATTTTCACTCATATGCACCAATGGAACAAAGAATATGAATAAGCATCAATACATACAATACTGTTTAAAAGTGTGGGGCCAGTAAATTAATTCTTTCATTCTGCAAGCATCCAATAAATATTATTATAAATATTTAATAAAATGTATAATATAAAATTAAAATAGAAAAATAATTTAAATGCAGTTAAATATATTAACAGTTACATTAATGCAGACTTGCATCTTACTGACCCTAAACTTTTGAAAGGTAGTGTATTTTTACCAAAAATAAACATATATATATATACATATATACACGCCACACAGAGACTTCTGTGAACATTGTAGGCTGGATGATTAATGCTGATAGTTCACATTGTTAACTCTGAATCAGAGTTATTAACTAAAACAATTCTAGTGCCATTTTTGCTACTGACACTGAGATCAAACATGCCACGAAATGTAATAATAAAATAAACAGTGTACAGTGTATAGCCTTTCAAAAATGGTTACTAGAAAAACGTCTCAGGTTACGTATGTAACCCTAGTTCCTCGAGGGAACGAGACGCTGCATCGGAAACACTAGGGGAACGCCCTTCAGCATGACGGGCTCTGAACCTCGTGTGTAATCAGACCAATAGATGGGCGAGACGTCACGGCGGGTGACGTAATGACCAGGAAGCTATAAAAGCACGTGCGGTGAGACCAGTGTCAGCTCCTAGGAATGAAGCAAGCGCTGGCAGGGACGCCGGAAGTATGGCACTGAGACGCAGCGTCTCGTTCCCTCGAGGAACTAGGGTTACATACAGAACCTGAGACGTTCCTCTTCAGGAACTCGAGCTGCGTCAGAAACACTAGGGGAACGAGAATGCCCACACCGCCAGACTTCTAAGTCTCTGCCTAGGGTGAAAGATTGCACAGCTAGGGCAAGAGGGCAGAAGAGCCAGGAGTGGCTCGCAAATCTAGACCATAAAACCTAACAAAGGTAAGGGGCGTGGACCAACCCGCCGCGTTGCAGATGTCCTGCATAGGAACACCCGCTAAAAAAGCCTTAGAGGCTGCCACACTACGAGTTGAGTGAGCCTTGACCCCTAACGGCGAAGGGAGATCAGAGGACTCATAACAGCTGGAGATGGCATCCACTATCCACCGACTGCAAGAACTCCAGCACTGTACCAAGCGGGCAGTTAACTGGGTCTAGCTGGCGGTCTCCGCACCAAAAAGTGAAAAGTTTCCACTTCAATGCGTACAGTTTCCACGTGGAGGGAGCTCTGGATTGGAGGATGGTCTCAACAACCTCGGTTGAGAGACCGGAAGCTATGAGTTGTGCCTCCTCAGGGGCCACACCCTCAATTTCCACAGCTCTGGGCGGGGGTGGATGATCATACCCTCCGCCTGTGAGAGGAGATCTCTCCTGACGGGAATCTCCCACAATGGGGTGAAGCATCCATTCCCCGGGCCTCGGCCCCTGCCTCGACAGGATGTCTGCTTCCAAATTGAGATACCCAGGGATGTAAACTGCTCTCAGCGAGAGCGGATAATGGTCCCAGGGACCACACAAGGATCTGGTACGCTAGCTTGTACAAACGGCGTGAGTGCAGACCTCCCTGGAGGTTGATGTAAGAGACCACCGCTGTGTTGTCGGTACGCACCAACACATGGTGACCTCTCAGGTCTGGGAGGAAGTATCTTAGTGCATGTAGCACGGGCCAGCATCTCCAGGTAGTTGATGTGCCACGTGAGATGGCGACCACTCCATAGACCACGGGCAGGGTGGCCACTCATGACCGCTCCCCAACCGGTGAGGGACGCATCCGTCGCTAACGTTATGCGGCGACAAGGAGCTCCCAGCACCGGGCCCTGTGCCAAGAACCAAGGTTTCCTCCACATGTCCAAGGCACGTAGGCATCGCCGCGTGACCTTGAACATGCGAAGCGGGTTTCCCCTCGGGGAGAACCCCTTGGTCTTGAGCCACCACTGTAGGGGCCTCATGTACAGCACGCCAATAGGTATGACGTTGGACGCAGCTGCCATCAGACCCAGCAGTCTCTGAAACTGCTTGTCAGTGAGTGACCGGCCTTCTCTGACTCTCGCGACTGCGGTGAGGATCGACTCGATACGAGCAGGGGACATACATGCCTGCATTGTGGTTGAATCCCACACCACGCCTAGATAAGCGGTCCTCTGTAATGGAGAAAGCACACTTTTCTTGGCGTTTAGTCTTAATCTTAGCTCTCTCATGTGGGCGAGAATGACATCTCGATGTCGAATTACCATCTGCTCTGACTGAGCTAAGATCAACCAATCATCGATATAGTTTAGTATGCGGATGCCCTGGAGTCGCAACGGAGTCAGGACTGCATCCACACACTTTGTGAAAGTGCGGGGTGAGAGTGCACGTGCCGAAAAGAAGACACGATATTGGTACGCTTTGCCCCCGAAAGCAAACCTCAGGAACTCCCTGTGACTGGGAAGGATGGACACATGGAAGTATGCGTCCTTTAGATCGATCGTGACAAACCAGTCCTCGGACCTGATCTGAGACACGATATAGTTTAGTATGTGGATGCCCTGGAGTCGCAACAGAGCCAGGGCTGCATACTCACACTTTGTGAAAGTGTGGGGTGAGAGTGCAAGGCCGAAAGGAAGAACACGATATTGGTACACTTTGCCCCCGAAAGCAAACCTCAGGAACTCCCTGTGAGTGGGAAGGATGGATACATGGAAGTATGCATCCTTTAGATCGATCGTGACAAACCAGTCCTCGGACCTGATCTGAGACACGACCTGCTTGATAGTAAGCATCCTGAACTTCAGTCGCATGACTGAGCGGTTCAACTGACGTAGATTTAAAATCGGACGCAACCCCCCATCCTTCTTCGGAACTATGAAGTACCGGCTGTAGAACCCGGACTGCCTCACATGAGGAGGGACCACCTCGATGGCCTCCTTCCTCAGAAGAGTAACTACTTCTTGCTCCATGACCAGAGCCTGCTCGGTCTCGACACGGGGGAGCACGTGAGGCCAAGCTCTGTTTTTGTGCGCCCCTGTATATGGAGCTGG